TAATTTCATATCGACTTAAGCTGAAGGCAGAATTCATTGCCGAAAAAACATGTTTACTTTTGGGCTTGTAAAATGCTCTCACATTCGATTTAAATATATTTAAATTATGCCAGTTACGAAGAGCCTTAAAGCTTAAATAATAATAAATTTTATTCAATTAAGTTTGTGTTTGTTCGCATTTTAGCATTTAGCATAGCTTTCGGCATATACAAAAATGAATATGTTTACATTAATTCAAGTGTTGTAAGTTAAATCTATACGAATTTATTTTTGTTGTCTAGTGTTAACGTCAATGGCTTCGTGTAGCAATAAGAAATTGCAAATGTTTTTATTATAAACAAAGAGTGTGTGAGTGCATGTGTGACTGTGTGTGCGTGTATGTGCATGAGTACGTGTGTGTGTGTGTGCACATGTGTGCGTGTATGTGGGTTTGAACTTTTCGCCGTTTCAAGTAGAAATCGATGCGCATCAATATTCAATATGTTGCTTTTACTGGCATCGAGCTGTTAGCTGCCTTCCCGACCGCCCGCAGCTGAACTCTCCGCGAGCCGCGACAGCAGCAGCAGCAGCAGCATCAGAAGCGCAATCTCAATGCGAATCCTCGACGATTCCATACGCCAAACGCCAGCTGATGTTTGCTTTACGTAATGGAATTGTGCGGTGAATGGTGCGTGGGGGCGCATTTTCGCCTTGGCCCGGGTTCGCAGCGGGTTTCCCTCCACTGACTTTTTACTGTATGTGGATGTCCGTGTTTGAGTGTGTGAATTTTCTTTGGCTTGGCGTACGGATTGGCGGTTCAGAGGCTTTCAATTGGCTTTCGGCACTGCGAGGGACGGAGCGGCGTGCGACGTGTGGGATACGGCGTGTGGCATGCGTCAATGTTTCAACATTTGCCGTTCACATTTTCAATGCCGCTTCATTCAATTTATTTTCGACAGAAATTAAATAAAAATACGCATATATTAAACTTAAACAGTGCCTGCCACATTGACATAAGCTGATTATTTTCCCATGTTAAACATAGTGGACAAATGCAGTCGACAGCTGTTCTGAGGGTTAAAAACTGAAAATGGATGCATCGTTAACTATAGTGGAACTAGTTCCGCTCCAGATCATTTGCGAACAATTTGAGAGACGTTGCTTTTGGGCTTGAGGGCAACCTTTATCGTATGCACACCAGTGTTGTGTAACAAAGCAAACACGTGCTCGTATTAGCAACCAACTAAGTGTTGTTATTCCACAGTTTTACACCACAATTACCAGCTCCACACCCCTGGCGTGCCACCTCTCCGCCACAATCTCACTAACTACGTGACGCACAGCAGCTACGTGTCGAATTCCCGAATATCCCCACGTTACTCATAAATGTTAGACAATGTCTGCAGCGTATGTGTGTGTATGTATATGTGTGTGCATATATTGTGTGTTGGTAAGTGCGAGAGTGTGTGTCATGTGCATGTTTTGGCATCTTTCTACAGCTACTCGCATAGCTCAGAGACTCGCATATGCCTGCCCATTTAAAGTGATTTTTTCTTTTTTTTTTTGTGTACCATAGCCCAAAAAGTTCTTGTTCTTCTTCTGCTCGTCTCTGACAACGTAATCATATCAGCACCACATTTTGTCAGCCTTTATTCTTTACCTATACACACAGGCAGGTGTGTGTGTGCGTTGCAACATGCTTTACATGTTGTCCTTGTATTTGTTTGTGTTCCACTTTTTGTTGCGTTTTGTCAGCTTCAATATTGCATGGCTTAACCATGCCTGAAGGAGCCGTTGCGAGTGCACTCTGAATAACTAGGTATTATAAATAGTTGACGAACACGTTTGGAAATTGTTTAAGCACATTGCTGTTAAATAAAACAGATGAAGTTAAGACACTTCAGATGGCTTATAATATTCATGTGGATGTATCTTTATAAAAGAAATTGCAATTATTATTATGACATCAAATGAATGGGTACTTTTTAAATGTCTACAGGAGTTCAGTTAAGAAATCTGGGCCACTAAGAAAATATGATTTAAACCATGCTATGCATGCTCTACTACGTTCATTGCAAAATTCCATCAACTCATATTGTGGATACCTTTCAATTTGCTTTGCTAGCGGACTTATTCTGTATCCTCCGCCTATATTCTACCCTTTTTGACGGAAATGTAGCCACCCCGTTTGTACCTTTGCATTCGTTTTAATAAACTAACGAACCGCTGTGTTCTAAGCTGTGCTCCATCCTAACGCCAGTCAGCCAGAAAACCATACACATCATTTTGATGTCAATTATTTCGCAGTAAAGAGTTGACATGGCTTTTGTTCGTAGTTGGGTGCGGGTGGGCTCCCCTTGGCTCCCCCACCCAAAGCTCCTAGAATACCAGCAAGCGCGACACGGCAACGTCAAACCCAACACGCACCCAGAAACAAAAATATTCAGCCTTGGCTCTTTGTAGTTGTTATTGCTGTAAATTCTTTGTCGTATGACTTTGAGGTGGGCTTAGGTTTCCATCCAACGTGTGGCTATACATAAAGATGGCTGCCTCTTTGTGCTTTTTGGCAGCTCTTGTACGGAGCTTAAGCCCAGCCAAATTGAAACAGCACATTTCAGCTGAAAGCAGATGCTACGTAATTGCCCAAAAAAAAAAAAATGAACAGCAAAATAAAGCAGAAACATGTTCAAATTGTGACTAATGATGATGGGCATTGTTAAGAAGATCACGAGATGCAACTAATAAAATAAGTTGGAGGAAGGAACAGTTTACTTAGTGGTACCAAAGCCTGGCTCTTCGGATAATCTAATATGCTTATTTCTTAAATATTTATGATTATCCCTGGAAAAATAAACCGAATCAGCCCATCGTACAGTTTACATATATATTTTTCTATATTTTTTTGAGTCTTTCAATAAATTACACATTTTGCTGACAAAATCAATATACCCGCTGCAGGGGTATAAACATCTGCTGTCCTGTTGGCGTGCTGCGAAATTTCTGCATGGCGTTGCCATCCCGTATATGCTAGCTGTCATTGCCCGAACGTAGCCATCTGGCAACGCTGTCACGCTGTAAGCTTAACTGACCTTAGCATTTGCTCAACGTTGAATTTGTATATAAAACTTGTAACTCGATTCGATTTCCGGCTCCACTGTCAAACAACAGCAGCAACAGCAACCAAAACGGAAGCGCCGACGCCATGTCGAAGGAAGAAGCTGCCGTCATCAAAAAGCTGCTACAGGGCGCCAGGGACAGCTATAACTCGGGCAGCGGTGGCGACAACAATAAACCTCGACCCAAAAAGATGCTCAACGATCCGCGCTTCCAGATACGCCCGCTGCAGCAGGTGGCCTCCGCATGCACGGGGGCCATGATCACCGCCTGCTTTATGACGCCGCTGGACGTGATCAAGACCCGGATGCAATCCCAGCAGTCCCAGTCGAACAAGTGCTTCCTCTACTGCAACGGCCTGATGGATCATTTGTTTAGCTGCGGTGCCCATTCGCACACCACAGTGGGCGGATCTTTTAAGCCACAATTTCGGAGCACACTGGACGCCCTGATCAAGATTAGTCGCCATGAGGGTATTGGCGCCCTGTGGTCGGGCTTGGGTCCCACGCTTGTATCGGCGCTGCCCTCGACGGTTGTCTACTTTGTTGCCTACGAGCAATTCAAGGCCAGATATATAACCATCTACCAGCGGCACTTTGCGCCGCCTATGAATCCCCAGATCGGCCAGCGCCAGAATCTGCCCCTGGTGGTGCCCATGCTATCCGGCGTGACGGCACGCATCTGCGCCGTCACCTTTGTCAGTCCCATTGAGCTGGTGCGCACCAAGATGCAATCGCAGCGGCTCAGCTACGCCCAGGTGCTGCAATTTGTGCGCAATGTTATAGCGATCCAGGGAATCGGTGGCTTGTGGCGCGGACTGCCGCCCACCATACTGCGGGATGTACCCTTCTCGGGCATATATTGGCCCATCTATGAGTACCTCAAGGTCTGCTTTAGCAAGCACAACGAGGAGCCCTCCTTTGGTTATAGTTTTGTGGCCGGGGTGCTGGCCGGTTCGGTGGCGGCACTGGTCACCTGTCCCTTCGATGTGGTCAAGACCCACGAGCAGATCGAGTTTGGCGAACGCGTCATCTTCACGGATTCACCCGCCAAGGAGCTGAACAAGCAATCCACCTACAGCCGCCTGGCGGCCATCTATCGCGTCTTTGGGCTGCGCGGACTCTTTGCCGGCTACGGTCCGCGGCTGTTCAAGGTTGCGCCCGCCTGTGCCATTATGATATCCACCTTTGAGTATAGCAAACTATATTTCTTCTACTACAATGTGAATCAGCACAACGAGCAACTGCTGCTGACCAATCCCAATGCCAAGCTGGTCAAGGAGGATGATATCGAATAGTAAATCACCGTTGTTCGAGTCAAGCATTCTATTTTATAAATAAACTATGTACATATATTTTATGTTTAATTATAAATACTAATTACTGTTCGGCTCAATTTAATTAGCCACAAGCAATATTCACAGCTTGGGGCAAATTTGTAAGGTCGCTGCGTGCGCAACTTCTCCTGACTTCTGTTTGAGTTCTGTTGATTAAATTTAACATTTACGCAAGCTGTCACTTAAAAAGATATAAAGGAAATGAAATTCATGCGAAATGAGTTAAATATGCAATGGCAACACTTCCCAGTCCAAATAGAATATCCGTTGCCATACTTGAGGTCTTAATACCCCGCAATCACAAAAATTAATTAAGATGGTTTTCATAAGGCTGTGGCAAATGTGTTGTATATATATTTATGTTCGCACCTTTCCAGGTGTTTGTGAATAGTATTATAAGTTGCCAATGTAACAGGGCTTATATTGGAATTAGTATTGATCTTATATTACAGCCTGTTATGATTTCATCACAGGGTATTGTTCAGTCGATTCCTATCCGCCTCAACATCTTCACTTCGAACGCATTTATGCATGAATAAATGTGTGTTATAAGGGAATGGAAGCATGACAGAGTCGACAAATATGAGGCAGAATTTACACTCAATATAAATTGAATGTGATACATATCGAGGAAAAAAGAGAAGGAAAAGTAAATTACAAAAATACAAACTACTTTATGTGCCTATATAAAGGACAGTATGGAGAAGGTAAATAATATTATAGATTAAAACTTGAATTGCTTTACTCTTCGCAATTTAAAATTAAAAAGTAAGTTTAAGTTTATTTTTCCGTCTCTTGTCGCAAGTTATTCCTTTGGCCAATGCGAAATGCTGTCAGGACTCGAAAAACATTGCCCATTTCAATTCCAGTTACTTGAACAATAATCGAATTGCTTTGCAGCACTCCATAAGAGTTCCCGGGTCACGTTCACATTTCACAGAAATAAAAGTAAAAATAAAAATAAAATGAAAGCCCAAAGCGGCAACGTTTATCGAATTGTGCCAAATCCAAACAATTCACACACTTGTGAATTGGAACATGCCGCATGACCAAATTATTACCCGAATGCAGCAAATGCGGTCATATAAATCAGAAATATCAAACTAAACATAGGCAATATACAAATGCTTTTGTATGCAGCCAACGAAAACGGACGAGGGGTTGTTGGCGGAGGAAACTTAATTGCATTTTGGAAAACGAGTGAAAATAATTAAAAAGTATCTACGTTTTGCTGAACAACGCAATAATAAAGTGAAATTTCCCCAGCGAATATTTGCCATAAGTATACTTTTTTAAACATTGAACAAGCATTTTACAAAGCTTGCCGAAAGGGGAGTTAGGGTAGCATAAAAAGCATATTTCTGTTTGTGTTGACCGCAATTTGGCAAAGTAGCCAAAAAAAAAATAATAATAAAAGAAGGAGAAGAGCGGAAAATGCCTGTCAGATAGCGATGGCCACAAAAGCTGTGATTTCCACTGACAGTGACTGACGGCTAGCGATGAGCAGAAAAGTGTGATTTTTTTTAGCTATAACTAGCATTGGGAGTTAAACAAATAAAAATATGTGTGTGAGAGATATGAGGATAACCAATTATTATTATTTATTATTTTTTAGTTTTAATTTATTTTTATATTGAGCTCATTTTTAGAACTTGACTATTAAATAATTAGTGTTTAAGATTTTAAAAAGTGTTTTGAATATGATGAGTAACTTTATTATTATTTTTTTACTTAACTTATGCTTTATTTTAATTTAACTGGTACTATGTAAACAACTTTAATTAAACTTACTTGAGTATTTAAAAAACTACTTAATCTAACACTGGTAATTCTAACACTGAGGAGTAACCAATTATTATTATTATTATTATTTAATTTTAATTTATTGTAACATTAAGCTCATTTTTGGAACTTGACTACTAAAAAATTAGTGTTAAAGGTTTGAAAATGTCTTTTGAATATGAGAACTAACAGCGATTTATACATGATATCCTCGTGTTCAAAATTATTATTAAATCTAAAACTCGATTATTTGTACATCCTGAACCCATTGACAATGGTCAGAGAGTTTTTAATGTTTTTGTGCAAATTTATGTAACTGAACAGGAAGAAGAAAGCATCTCCGTCCCCATAACGTATATATATTCTTGATCGGCATCAAAAGTCGAGTCCATCTTGCCAAGTCCGTCTGTCCGTCTGTCTGTCCGTCCGTCGGTATGTATGAACTAGAGACCATTTCCTATAATAGATATCTTGCTCCATTTGCAAACAATTGAAACAAATCGACATTTAAATTCTGTTTTTCGAGCAAGTCTCTTAAGTTTTAAGTGCTAGAAACGTGTAGCTTCTAGATAAGTATATACATATTAAGTATCTTTTATTAAAATGTGATTTTTTCACAGATGAACGTAAAAGGCGAGTTCTTCCAAAAGCTTTTTTTTTTGTTTCTAAAAATATGTAAAGAACCATATTTTTTTTATTAAACTAAGAAAACTTCGTTTCATATTTACTAAAGTTTTAAATGTAATATCTCTCTGCGCTTGTTTAAAATAGTTACTAATTAATCCTGTTAATAATTTCACCCATTTTCGTGCACATCACTTGGCCATCTCCAGTGGGCACCACAGCTAAAAAAAGAAAAAAAAAAGCATGTATGTGTATGTGTAATCTGACGGGCAACTGGTAAACTGGCATTTAACGTTGAAGTTTTCTTTGTTAAACGAAAATTGGCAATAAAGCGCATTAAAAATATGCTTTCACTTAAATAATTGAAATTATATTAAAGCGAAATTCGTGCTTGTTGCCTGCGTAAGGCAATTTGTTACTTAACCACATGAAGACGGCCCCCAGACCCAAAACACATCATGCCCAGCCCCACAGTTTATACAAGCTCTTTTTTATTTTTGCGTCGTGTATAAAGATATACATATATATATATACACTTTTTTGTGCTCTGCCAATTGCTTTGCTGGTCTTGGGGCGTGGCCATAGTCCATATATTCCGTCAGGCTGTTGTTTTTTTTTTTTCACTCTCTGCCTGCTTCAAAAATATTTGCGCTAGCAGTCAGGAAAAAAGTTGTTGATGGCCTGCCCAATTGGGGAATTGTTGTTCTTGTACGTAGTGCAGCTGCTGTGGCGGGCATCCTTCAACATTTGCCAGGATATTGGTCGGGTGGGAGGCGTGGTGCATAACGAAGTTTCAGTTTTGCTTGTTGCGTTTGGTATTTGCATTTAATTGTTGTATTAAAAATACACCAACACGCACGGTCACAGCGCTTTATTTATGGCCTCTAGCATGTCAGTCTACCCTATTTTTGCTGCTCCTGTTCTTTATGTCCTGTAAAAACATTGACAACATGTGGGCGTGGCAGGCAATTTGGATACTTCATGTATGCCCTGGAATTGATTCGCTTAACGCTTCTGGCCTAAGCAATAAAAATGATTAAAGCCGATTTAAAGGGGCTTCATCTAAAATGAAATGTTTCTGAGCTTGGGCCAAAAGCTTTTTATGGCCAGCTAATGAGCTCTGTGGAGAGTTAAACGACTTTTCTCTAAACTCTTATTAAATAAGCCTGCAGCAAAAAAAAAAGATATAAAAATAAATTAAAGGAAAATGTTCAGGCAGCTTTTATTCTGCTTTTAATTGGCCGTTTTCAATGGAAACTGTATCAAAAACTATTTGCTTAATTGTTTAATTTTATGCGCAGCGTTTGCTTAAACTTGATTAAAAGCGTGCAACAAAATCGTTGCAGGCTAGCTAGAAAGTGTTACACTTTAGTTTTAAATAACGTTTCTACTTTTTGGCCAACTTGCATGCAAAGGCTGTTGATTTTCCTTTTGAGCCAGCGCTAAAGAAAACAATTTTCCCATGTCCTTGCCGGGGCAAACGTTTAATTAATTTCTAGAGCTTAGCCATATAAATGGCAGCCAGAACTCAAACAAAAACAGCAGAAACAGCACGAAACATACCATAAAAATATATTGGTTTAAGCCAACTGGATATGAGTGTTATATAGGAATATACAAGCTTTATTTACATATGCTACATTTGCCTATTCCTTGTGATTTTTTAGACAGACAGATTGACAAAGGAACGGATGGACATGATTTTTGGTACTGCTTCGAAGTATATTTTAATTGATTGTAACAAAGCGTTGTACAGTTTCGTTACACCCGTTTTTATACACATTTTATGCAGGGTATACTAAAAAATAAAATTAAGTAAAACGAGAAAGTAAGTAAATATTCCGCACGATGAAGATATAATACCCTTCTAGACAATGCTCTTTTGCAGATATAGGAATAGGAATTAAAACGGAATAGGAATTAAAACGGAATAACTTTCCATACGAGAATTTACCTTACGACCGATCGTTTTTATGGCAGCTGTATTAGATAGTAGCCCGATGTGGATAGGATGTTGTTTATATATGGGGAGCAGAGTGAAACCCTTAAGTGCTTCATTTGGTCAACATACCTTGATATTCAAAAAAGTTGTTCACAGAAATACTTAATTTTCGACCGATCGTTCCTGTTGCAGCTATATGATATAGTGGTCTGATCCGACAAAAGTACTGACTGCAGCAGAAAGAAGCGAATATGCAAGGTTTCAAGACGATAGCAGAGATTAGTTCGCATAGAAACAGACAGAAAGAGAGATGCATATGGATATATCAACTTGGCTGTTGAAGCTGGTCCAAAATGTATATACTTTTTGAGGTCCTTTGATACGCTACACATTTCAAGAAAAAAATTATTATAGCCTCTACAAGGGTATAATTAAGGAAAATAGGACTGAACGTGCGCGCCTCAAGTCTGTTAACAAAATGCTTTTAATTTTTCACGGCCTAGAAAACTGCTGATCTCTTTAAAACGGGCAATGCAAATTCTTAATTAACGTTGCCTTTTTTGCAGTTTTTACGACGTCCATGCCCAGACGTCTGTTATCCTTTTTTTTTTGCTGTTTGTTCGTGCCTGTGCACACCTGAGTCGCCGGCTCACCCGAGACGCCGGGGTTTTAATTAAAAATACAAAACGAAAAGGAAAAACAAAAATAAAAATTTCCTGGAAAAGAATTTGCCTGTAGCAATATGAATTTCAAGGCTGCGCCAACAGCTTGTCAATATCCTGTTCGCATATCCTTTGGTCCGTGTTTACAGTCTGCTTTTAGGCTGCATTTTGGTCTTTGGATTTGCGAGCACTTGATATTATAAGTGTGCATAGGCGTATTTAAAACGGATCTTGCAATTTATGAAATGTTGTTAATTTTGATTTAAATTATATTGAGGTTCATTTGCACCGCACTAAAGTGCAGCCATTCGCCATTTTCAGCGCAATTTGCCTGCAATTTTCTTTATGAATTCTTTTTCCATTTATTTTGTGTGTGTGTGTGTGTGTGTGTGTGCGTTTTTTGCCGTTTATTTTTGTGCTCGTTGCTCTATGTGCCATTTGGGTCGGTTTGTTCTGCTCTTTACGCAGAGCCAACTAAATTATTAAAGCGATAATGGCCCGTAAAGCTCATAAATTTTGTGGCCGCGTATTGAAAGTGGACGCCGCTAAAAGGTATGGTCCTTGCCATGCCTGGCATAAAGTGCTGGGTTATTTATAGAGGCCCAACCGCCTAATTGATCTCATTTCGGATATAATTTTTGGCTGCGGAATGTCTGAAAATAAGCATTTTCATTTCAAATCTAACACTGACTCTCGCAATACTTGGCAATTATCTGCGTAATTTACTTTGCTGTTCTCTTCTTCTTCTTATACGCCTGCCATTGTATGCTAATCGGTTTTTTAAACTTTTCGTTATTTAATCTATCTTTTTCATACTTATACACATAGCATAAGCAGGCAAGGAATTGGAATTGGCCTTTTATGCTACATGAACACAATGTTTTGCAATCTTTGAAAGATTTTTCCGCTTTCCCATTTGCTCTGTGTACGATATTCATGAATTATTCATGAGGCAACTTTATAGGAAAGTACCAACTCGAGTGGCTATGAGACGAACTGAATCACAAATGCTCTCAGCCAGATAAAGAAGGTTCGTTCATATAGTCACCTGAGGGAACTGCTTTATGTGCAGAAACTTGAGAAATATTGTGCTTATAAATTGAAATACTTGGTGAATACAGATAATCAGTTGATTATAAACAAAACAGAAAATCACGCATCTCCTCAGTAAATGCTTGACTAGACCACAAACTAATCGGACTCTGGCAAAGCTTAACCAATTTTTAAAATAGGAGACACATATTGACCATGATTTGGTTT